GATACAATATAGTGCATTCATAATAGTGATGTAAAAATGCTTTAATGAAGATAGTTGAATAAATAGAGATGTGGCTTTGTAATGAAATGTGTCTTTATGTCAATAAATTTCTCGACAAATCAATGTCTGTGGCCGGTGTCTAATGTGTGACTCAAATGTGACCTGCTTTCAAATGTATGGTTTCTGATATGTACCTGCTTTCATATGTATGGTTTCTGATGTGTACCTGTTTTCAAATGTATGGTTTCCGATGTGTACCTGTTTTTAAATGTATGGTTTCTGATGTGTACCTGTTTTCAAATGTATGGTTTCTGATGTGTACCTGTTTTCAAATGTATGGTTTCTGATATGTACCTGTTTTCAAATGTATGGTTTCTGATGTGTACCTGTTTTCAAATGTATGGTTTCTGATATGTACCTGTTTTCAAATGTATGGTTTCTGATGTGTACCTGTTTTCAAATGTATGGTTTCTGATGTGTACCTGTTTTCAAATGTATGGTTTCTGATGTGTATCTGTTTTCAAATGTATGGTTTCTGATGTGTATCTGGTTTCAAATGTGTGGTTTCTGATGTGTACCCATTTTCAAATGTATGGTTTCTGATTTCTGATGTGTACCTGTTTTCAAATGTATGGTTTCTGATGTGTACCTGTTTTCAAATGTATGGTTTCTGATGTGTATCTGGTTTCAAATGTGTGGTTTCTGATGTGTACCTGTTTTCAAATGTATGGTTTCTGATATGTACCTGTTTTCAAATGTATGGTTTCTGATGTGTACCTGTTTTTAGTCCCCGTTCGGACGTAGTCCGAAAACGGGGACTTATGGTTTGCCCTGTGTGCGTCCGTGCGTCCGTGCGTCCGTGATCACCTGTATCTCGAACATGCATGGACCGATTAAGTTCAAACTTCACTCATACATCACACATTATATGGGACATATGCACATGCATTTTTTTCATGATCCGATTAACGATAACCGAATAGCGGCCATTTTAAGGCCGAAAATGCATCAAAATCGCACATTTTCACCATTCCGGACCCGGATCTCAGTTATGCATGGACGGATTTTGTTCAAATTTGGTACATACATTAAACATAATAGGACCTTGATGCACGTCATTTTTTTTTTTGGATCGGGTTCGAAATGGCCGACTGGCGGCCATTTTGTTTTAAAGA